ACACACACACACACATTCGCACTCACATACACAGACTTACACGCACACACACACATCCACACACACACACGCTCGCACGCACACACGCACACACACACACACACACACACACATACAAAAACACACACACACGCGCACACAAACACACGCACGGGCAAGCACATATACATATACCTACACACGCACACACACATACGGGCATGCACAAATACAGGCCCACGTGTACCAAAACTGATTTGCCACAGCCATTTATGAAGTTGTATGAGACCACGACTACATGTACGACTACATGTAACTCGTTATATGCTCGTAAGAAAATTCAAACTCTACTACTGGATCAGTTACGGATTTTTATTTATTTCCGTGTTTAACCGGTTTTTCTAGTTACTTGTATATAAGAGTGAATCGGTTCTCTGTTCATTTGTGACGCTGAAGAAGAGTGATGGATGTCACTCGAAACGTCCGGAAATAAATAAAAATCCGAAACTGATCCAGTAGTAGAGTTTGAATTTTCTTACGAGTATCGTTTACCTGGATGTCTAACCTTCATCAACGTAACTCGTTATATGGTTATATGATATCCATAAATTCTGGATATCATACTGGTTTTAAACTATCCAAAAAAAAAAAAAAACAATAAAAAAATGTCACAATGTGGATACTGTTTTTCCCAAACTTACAGGCTTTACCATACCTTTTGTGCATGACAACTTGGAATAAGGTTAGAAAAACAGGAGAGCACTGGGACAACACCCGTAATTTATGGGAGATGGGGTACCGTCGTCCTTGGGTTTTATGTCTGCATTAGAGTATGGGTGGCTGAACGTGAATTCCCAACTTGCACAGACATACAATAGAAATAATTTCCCGCCTTCGATATACGTGTACTCGTTGAAATAAGGCGCTATGTCCATGTAAAATCCACATTAATTGGAACATGAAAACCACCGTAATATCTGACTGATCTACGCTACTAGCGTTCCCAAACTTCAGCTGTCGTCTTAGCGGAAAATCTTGTCGGTGGTTATTTCTGTTGAAAATTATACCACGTGAAATTCACAGGACGACCAACGACGAATGTGGCCTGGCCCTAACCAGCGAGGACGTCATATAATATGTTTCTGCGAGCCCTGGTAGTGCTCGAAATACCTTTCCTGCATACATGTACTTCATAGGTGGTAACAGTCAATGCAGCAAATATAATCCATGTACACATAAACCCAATACATTTGCTGGTACAGGCTAGGTGTACTCTCCAAGCAGAGGTTGTGGGGGAATGATCGTTAGCTTTTTATTTATGGTCATCTTTTTGTCGCTAATGCCCGCGACCTTCTCTGGCCAATGGATACTGGCTGGCCAATTTGATACTGTCTTTTTGCCACCGAAAGGCATCTGCTTGGAGATTAGCTAGGTGCAGGTATAGACATCAGAAATACCTGCATATCTCCAAAGTATCCTGCGTATGCAGGTGGTATTTCGAGCACTGCTAAACCAACAGCATCGTACGTCAAGGCATACATGTCACATACAAAGAATTGTCACTAGATAGCTTTAAACTATCTAGTGACTAGAGGCCTGTTCATTTTGCAAATTGCACATTTGCTGGTCACTATGTAAACAATGGATACAACAAAGCCGCTGCTCACTATGCGAACAATGGATGCAGCAGACGACGTTAAGCTGTATTCAGTAGTTCAGAACTATAACTATAACAGAACTATAGACAAATGGCTATTGTATGAACAAGGATGAACAACACGTTGTGGACACTTATTGCAACACAACTAGCTCATCGGGCATTGCAGGCCGAAGGGTGCATTCAGCTACCAAATCCATGAATGTTCCTACCAAGGCGCTTTACGCCTTTACTGGTCTCCATTCCGAGAGTGTCGAAACCATGAATGTTCTTGTTCAACCCCGTCGGCTTTTTCTTCACCACAACTGTCTCTTCGGTCTTGTTTTCCCGTTCGCCGCTAGTAGATGTTGTTCCAGTCTTGTCAAACGCAGCTGCACTTTGTGATGGTGCGTATTTCTGAAGCAGTCTGTTACGCAAAGCTTCCCTGTCGAGCGCTTGGAACTTGAAACAAAGTCTAGAGTTAGATGTTCAAGGGTTAGGTGTAACAAGTCGATTGGTGTTATGTAGCCAGCTGCCGCCGCGCCGCGTGCCTGCGAAGCTGGTGTGTTACGCCGAAAGGCGGTTATACCGGCTATACAGATACAGAATATCATATGCTGATCATTCCACAAAGGACTAGCCTAGTCGGCTATGTAGAAACCCTGTCTACTTACTGGTAGAAGGAAGTAACGTCCGTTCTTCACGTAGACAGTGTCCCAGGGAGACTAACTGAACAAGGATAATTGTAGAAAACCACCACATCGTGGAAGGTGTCTCTCCGTACATCCGTCAGTAGCGGTGTCGTCTGACAGACTAACGCACGCCCTGCTGCCGACATGTGATGGATGGAGATACCAAGGCCTTGGAGATACAAACCACTTAGCAAGATGAGGTACCACCATCACCTATTGTACGCACCGTAAAGTATGGGCAGTAAAATTGTGTTCACAATGTACATACATACAAGTTATGAGCGTGCATACAGTTCCGTGCGAAAATAAAATACTCTAATAACGCAGACAGAAAATTGCACGATGTATTCAAGGACTCTAAGAATAGAAAACAGCTTAACGATGTATTCAGCAAATAAGGCCTGTTCATTTTGCAAATTGCACATTTGCTGGTTACTATGTAAACAATGGATACAACAAAGCCGCTGCTCACTATGGATGCAGCAGATGACGTTAAGCTGTATTCAGTAGTTCAGGAGGCACGACCTTCAGCTATATTGTGTGATGTTGACGATGTACATGGATACTCCCTGGCGCTAGCGCTCTAAGAACACTGACAGGCATAATATATGGGCTGCATTTTACATGGTCTGTACATTTTGTAAATTCAGAAATAAATCGATACAATAGATAAAATTTAGTAGTTATTCTAGTATATCGTAGTACTGTGTGTATCAGTGGTATTTGTAAATAGTATGTACTCAGTATACTCTTGCGGAGAGGTGGGGGGGGGGGGTTATGGACATACGTGTAACTAGCAGGGAAAGATGATGATATTATTTTATATAATGTATAGTACAAGTTATTACATGTACATGTGGTTCTAGAGGACTTAGATCAGCCGAAAGGAATATGGATAAATATAGCCTATTAATTGCTAGGACAGAGAAGTTCAAAGATCACTTAAGCTACGGTCACAACCCGCCGTACGTGCTTCTGCGTGCTGTCTACGTGCAAAAACGTAGGGCATCCGTGCGTGGTGAGTACCGCCTCCGTACGGAATCCTACGGATTTGGGAGCACGCAGACACGCCGTAGAACTTTAAGTGCATGTAAAACTTTTTCTACGTACGGTCTGCGGATTCATCACCCGTGCGTGCGAGTACGAGCGACGCGAGTGCCCCGTACGTGCCGTGCGGAAGAAGCACGTGTGAATACGGCCTCCTTACGGTTAAGTTGCAATCGCACAGAGATCGTACGTTGTAAGCACGTACAACTCACTTACCACTTGCGCAACCTACGATGCACGCAACCGCTCACGGCCAGACGTGGCGTGCAGACCACACTCTTACACTTTGTGCAACCGTGCGAGTGACGTGCGTAGACGCCACTCCTTCCCCACGTTTTCAGAAAAAACGTAGCAGACGTAGCCTCCCAAAAAACGTACGGAGAAAAGGCACGTACGGCGGGTTGTGACCGAAGCTTTACACGGGTCTACATTTACACAGTCTGCACAAATACACTCTAGCTCACTTTAGAACGGCAAAATTAGGGAAACTGCTTGGGTACAGTTTTCCTTTGACTCGTCGCCAAAGTGTTAGAGTGCATGGAGTATACAGCCTACAAAGTATGTATTTTGTGACTATGAAAGGAACTCTAGACAAATGGCTATTGTATGAACAAGGATGAACAACACGTTGTGGACACTTATTGCAACACAACTAGCTCATCGGGCATTGCAGGCCGAAGGGTGCATTCAGCTACCAAATCCATGAATGTTCCTACCAAGGCGCTTTACGCCTTTACTGGTCTCCATTCCGAGAGTGTCGAAACCATGAATGTTCTTGTTCAAACCCGTCGGCTTTTTCTTCACCACGACTGTCTCTTCGGCCTTGTCTTCCTGTTTACTAGATGTTGTTCCAGTCTTGTCAAACGCAGCTGTACTTGGTGGCGGTGCGTATTTCTGAAGCAGTCTGTTACGCAAAGCTTCTCTGTCGAGCGTTTGGAACTTGGACGCC